TGAAATTCAAAAATATTAATTGGGTCATTTTCTGCAGCCACTGTTTATAACTTTTTATATTTGATAGTACAATCATTTTAATTAAATAACTTAATTTTACGATTATTATTTTATCATTTTATTAATTAAACAAATTAAAATAAATGCGTATTACGGCATTGAATATTTTTAAATCATCACCTTAATAAGTATGAATTAAATACACAATCTTTAATTTTAATAATAATTATAATACAGCTGCTATCACTTTTAATCATTATTTAAAATTGATAATTATTTTTGAGGAAAGCTTCTGAAATTACATTGCTTTAACAATTTATTCTAATATATAATAGCAACATATTTTCAGTTTTCTTCTTGCCTTCTTGACTACTTTTGGATTTTCTTAATTTTTCTAATTATTCCTATTCACAATTACGGTTATTCATCTTAAGGCAGCAACTCATATAAGTATTAAATACTTCTGCAAAATATAAACTTAAATAAAATAATTATTATGTATAATAAAAGATAATTTTGACCCCCAAAAATTTCCTTAGGTCATTATATCTATACAGAAAAGTCAGTAAATAAAGCAATGTAAAAAATTTTGCTACAAAAAAGTTTCCCAAATAAGTCGTTCAGAATTTCATTACTATTCTTGCCTAATTAATTAATTATACGCTATTTTTATTTTACTTTTTGTAATTTCTATTTACATAATAAATTCTTTCAAAAACAGAAGATTAATTGAGTAACCTTTGAAATGGTCATTTTTTGGACAGAGATTTTTCTGTGTTTGAAAATAAATAAATAATTAATTTTAGCCATTACTTTTTTCCATCTTGCAAGATTTTGAGTCTTCTGATCCATTTTCAGCTTTATTCAAAATTTTTCCCCTTCGTCAGAAACCTTTTATCATTTCAGTATCGAATTTAAGTCAATCGATTCTTAATTATTAAGTGTAAACAAAATGTTACATTTAATACTTAAAAAATTAACCAATACAATATTTAATTTAATTTAATTTAATTTAGGTTTTGAATTATATTTGAAAGTATAATACAGCAAAAAAAATAGATGTATGTATTGTTAAAAGAAAACATAATTTCAAATGATTTGTTTTCGATCGTTTATTTACTTACAAGCTTGTTTATTTTTATAAAATATTTTAATTAAATCAATTTTGCTATTTAAATTTAGCTCATTTTCACTAGCTAAAGTGAATGCTTTTTTATCATTTAATAAAAGTATACTGATTATTAGATACTGTAACATACATAATTCCCTAAACTAAAGGAATAAAAATTAAAATTATATAATATAATCAGGTATTGCCTTGTACAGACTGCTTTCTGCTTAATTAAAACATTAATAAAGAATAATAATTGAACATTCTGTGCTTTAATTTAAAAAAATTGCCTTCTGTGTAACTTAAAAATCTTATCTGTATATTTTTCACTTAAGTTCGTGAAATTAAAGAATAAAAGACGTGATCACTTAAAACGTGTTAAAATCAATCATAAGATTAGATAACTTGTAATATTCATATTTAACTGGCTTTCTTTTCTAGTATTTATTTTTTTCAATAAAAATCAAGCAAAGATATAAGTGTAGAACTATATATATACATCAGAAACTTATCACCATTACTTAAAAACTATTATTGCTATGCTAACGTCGAAAATAATAAAAATAATGATAATTTATTCTTACCAACATTACAGTTGAAACAATGCGGGTTATAATATTAATAACAATGCTTATAACTTGTGATAACAATAATAATATTAGCAATAATAATGATGATAACAATGGTGAAAATGGTGAACATTGATAGTAGTGATAATATTGGTGACAGTGATGAAAAAAATTATGATTATGCAAATTACATACCGCAGCATCAGCACTACCCGCCATCGATTATACTTTGATTAAAATTCTTGATCTCCACCTGAACGGATTGAAATTACTCAAATATTAGTTCAAAAACAGAAGCGAATTGAAACGATTCAGTCGTATCTAGGCAAGATAGAATTTAGCTTTATAGGTCTAGCAGCTTCTGCCAAGCAAACATACACATACATGTTACACTCACTCATACGCACGCACACACACAAACATACTCATACATAGCCCAAATCTTACATGAAACTGAGAAAAATAGAAATTCTGAAATAACGTTCAGCCATTGGCCCAATGATTTCCCTGAGAAGCCTTATGCCTTGGCTCAAAAGCCTTCCTTCCATAGAAAAAAAGCCCAAGCCTAGGCCTTGATGTTGTGCCTCTACTTCAATCCCTGGCCAATATAATCGATCAAAGCATGCTTCCTAACAAACACTGGTTAATACAGCATACTTACTTTCTTAGAGCGAAAAAATCTTTACTGACTTCCACCTCCAGTTATTACTTCCACTTGTCATGCGAAACCTTTAATTTACTTTTGTATTTATCCACCATACACAAGCTTAATCATTTAACAAAAACTACTTCTCTGCAAAATTATTATTTTAGTAACTAAAAAAACGTACCTCAACACATTCCATGAATCTAAACTTACTTTCATTTCCAAGAATCTTAACACACATCACAAACCTCAACTTGTAACTGAGAAGATCTACACTAATCTAGTCCATCAATCTCTTGGACAACAACCATTTACACCATACCAAAGTCACTATCGAAAAACCATATCCTCAAGTTCGAACTACAATCCTTCTTGATCAAATGATGTTTAAGGCATTCACTAAATTATTTTTAATTTCATCAAAAATGCACCATTTCAAGTGTCACCACATACATTAAGAAATAAAATACAATACTCCCACTGCAATACCGTATTTTTGAATTGCATTACATTACTGTATTAAAAGTTCTAAAAAAAGATACACTTTACTTAAAGTTGTGAAAGAGATCAAGAATTTTGCATATCTTCAAAAAATAAATCTGAAAGCATATTTTACGAGCGCAGTGATCACATGGATCTCAAGAAATTTTAACTCTTAAGCTAGGTATTTTTTACAGAGAAACGAAATTCATTCCTAATCATAAAACTCCATAGTTAAGAACAGTTAACAAATTCAATACACACAAATAACTTCATAGAGTCGTGGAATTCATCAAATTTTTTAGATATGAAACTTCTTTCTGGAGCCAACTTAATTCGGTTTTTAACTTCACGTTTAGTAGTTCAAGTTCATGCAGCTCTTCCTTTCTTTGCCTTGCTTTTTCTCTGCGTTTTCCTGAAGATATCACAAAATATCTAAACTATATAACGTCCATTTCCAATAAACATTCTGAAAGAGAGTATAAATTGTTTCTCACAAACAATATCGTGAAGAAAGAATACTGATATTCGCATCTCGTCTATAATACAATGCATAGCTGGAATTATTATGTACCTCTGTATTTAACGGCTGCACAGCGATTTAATTCCCGTTTACGTTCACAAACACTACAACACTTTCCATCATGACTTGATACTGTATTCGTTTTTTGATAACGACCACTCGAAATATTTGAAGTGCACGACTGCAGCATCTGAAATTGTAATCTTTTAAAAATCATGTTTTCAAATTTTCATTTCACTTCAATTACTCAAGTTGACATATTTTATATTTTCGAATAAACTTCAGTGAAAAACTTAATTGAATACAAAACTGAACTACTCAAAAGACAGTTTTTAAATACACTAAGTGCTAAGTATAGTTGTTCTAAACCGTGGTAAAGAATTAGCTTTGATTGCTGCACCTACATTTCAATTGCTGCACCTACATTTTTTTAATTTCAAATACGCGCCCTAACTTTTTTTACTAAATGTTAGTATTACTTTACGTAACTTCTAATATCAATTTAAGTATGCAGGTGTGACATATTCTTCGAAATTTACAAACAAAACATTAAAAAAAGCAATTAATTGACGCTTTCTATAATTAAGAGCCGATACAAAGTATTTTAAATGATCATAATAGAGAAAACTTTGCACTTTAAGTTCATAAGAAAAAAATAAACAACTTATTAGTCCGCTTAATGCTACCAAAAAAAAATCAAGATAAAACTGTCATTAAAAACGTACAGTATTTGAAGCTTCATTTTTATTTATTTCCACTACCAAAGTTTGCCGACATGCTGAATAACTTTCTTTTAAATGCGGGGCGAAATTTGGGACGTCGATATTATTAACATTGAATTTATCATCTGAGCTTAAATCATTTATCCCATAAACATCCATGAATTCGTACAACCAGAAAACATCGTTACTACTATAATCAGTATTTTTAAAATTATCGTTGCCAACTCCACTGTATGAAACCACTTTTCCCTCTTCGTCTGCACTGTTTGTTAGCAATGGCCACTCCGATCTATATTCCTGATTTTTACCTAACACTTGACTTGGTGAAATTTTGTCATTAACATCAACACACCTGAAAGTTAGAAAAAAAAAAAGAAAAAATAATTGAAAGAAAAAAAAAGTAGAAAGTTGAAGCACAGAACATATGCGTTCCATGGAAATATGTGAAATTACCAAAAAGTGCTTTCAGCACCATTAGTATGATCGTAGCCTACGTAATTTGGAAGTACACAATCTATGCCTGGAGAAGGAATACTCCACAAAGGTGCCATGGAAAAATTCTCGTCCATCTCTTCCATCTAAAAATTTAAAGTGAAATCTTTGCAATGTTTTCATTCAGTTGACAATATTAATTAAATTAGTAATAAGACTATAAGGTAACATGAAATGATTTGGATTTTTTAACAGTGAAAAAGCCAATCGAGAAAAATTTTCAATAATTTTGCTGACTGAAGTATAATTCAATTTTTGCTGTACTACAATTTGCATAATGACAATTTTCTCTAAGAATAATTAAGTTTTTAAAATATAATAGATGACATACCTGACAAGACATCCTGCTCACAATACTTGGAAAAATTTTTGCACTTAAAAAATTTAAACAAATTGACCAAATTCGAAGAATCCATGTTGCAGCTGGAAAGAAAAGTATATAAATAGAAGCAACCAAAATATAAAACTTGATAAAATTGATAACTTTTACCAGTAATGCTTGCAACCTTTTTTTCGATCAAATAACTAATCAAAAGAAGAATATGAAAAGACTCCCTAAACAAAAAGAACAAAAATGAGAATTAAAGGTAATAATAATTGTTAGCAATATTCAACTATGCTATAACAAGCTTTAATCTCTAAGCGCTTACGAAAAGTGAAAGGTCAATACAAATTGCACTCAATCTTAATCGAATTAATTAAACTGAATGAACAAAAGTTTAAACTAGCCAAATTAATCGTTGCGTTCTCACGTGAATGTGAGTAATCATTTAATTCCGAATCATTTTCATTTAACGTAGTAAGTGGTTTCAGACAGCCTGAAATTAAAAATATAGCCTTTTGACTATTATTTAATTTTAACAAGGTTTATATAAAAACCACATAACACATAACAGCAGTAACTTCTTATATCTAAACAGCAGAACAATAATAATTAATTCCACTTTTGTAAGTCTAAATATATTATTCTTTTTTCTGACATAAATTTTAATATCCAAAACACCTTAAATCTTTAAATACCATTTTTATCAATTATATGTGCGATTCGCCCAGTTTAATTTAGAAAAATAAAATTAAAATACGAAAAAATTAAATAAAATCAGATGCGTAACAGATAATTTGATCATATGCGTAACATGAAAGGTACAGTAATCACAGCGTGGAGGGCTGAGATAATGCAATATCCCCGTCAACTTACTACAGTTTTCACGTTTAAAATAAATTGCGCAAATATTTTACCTAGTAAGAATTCCTAAGAATGTAGACAATAATATATGCAATTTTTACAACTGAAAATAAGAAGAAATGGAAAAGAAACCACACAAGTTCATTGAACATTTCTAAGATAAGAACAATAGCACCTGTTAGTCATTTCGTATGTATCACCACCTCTTTACGTACTGGAGTGTAACTTCCGACACAACACATCGCTTCATTTTATCACAAATTTACACTCTCACGGATTCAGAAACAGTCAAATATACACTCATATACAGTACATACGGACAAAAACACTAAATGTACAAAAGCAGCCATCAACAGAATTTACATGCATGCGTACTTTAAAGAACGTGCTTTACACGTGCACAGTCAAGAACGTTTTTTACACGTGTGCAGTAAAATCAGGTAAAAACCAACAAAATATGGAAAAATTGAAAATATAAGTGCATATTTGTAATAAATAGCAGAATAATGTAAAACAATGACAGGAGAGATATGCGAAGTCCGGCACAAGCAAATCCCCACTTAAAACTTTCTAACGCTTAGCCATGGTTTCACCAAAGTAGCACTATGTCACTATGGTTATGTGATTTGAACACAAGGCAACTCTTTATATTACTTTGACGAACTAGTTTGCAAAAAATGAAGTTTCTGTCAAAGTGTACAGTTTTACGGAAGTAATCCGTAAGTAAAAGTTATGAGGATTATTCAATGAGTAAGTACTTTATGGTAAGTTTGAGAATAAATTCATAGATATGGGTGAGAAGGAAAGAAAGTTTTAAGATATTTTTGTTAACTTTCTCTTTATCTGTCTGACTGTGTACTGAATTTTCTACTTCTTTATTTCTCTTTTTCTTTTCCAGAACTCTCATTATTGTGTAACACTCGCTAAATGAACTTTGCCCTTTAACGGGAGATAAAAATTTCACCTTTTTGACACAGAATCTTCCATCCTTCTTATGTTACCATTTTTATTCAACCATATGTTATTATTAACGTTAATTTAACCTTAATTTCATGTCATTCTTTACTTTGTCTTTATTGTCTTTGCTATAAGATTCATGTTACTACTTGTTTAAATTTATTTTTAATGACAGTAAGAAATATTATTATAAATATTATTAATAGCATTAATTATTGCTTGATACCTTTTTTTGCTATTATACTTTGATCTACTTTAATAATTAGTACTGACTTGTACTGTTGATTTCTTACTGTATTTCTCAATCATTTGTGAACTTTTCTAATTAAGCTTTTAGATGGTTATCAAAGTCGAAGCATTATTTGACAGAATTCAGAGTTTTTATAGTGCTAGATAAAAGATTTAGGCTATTTTTTGTATTATAAAGTCTTGAAATTGAAACAAATAGCAATAACTTTGAAATAATTTCAATAGAAATTTTGTATGCTGTAATTGGTCGATAATTTATACACATTTAACGATATTGGCTGTTCGATCGAAACTTACTGTTCAACTTCAGGAGAAGTCAGATGGGTTGGTGACATGAGTGGAAAATGAAATGTCACCAAATGCTATTTGTGGTGGATCGATGAAGAGATCGAATTTAAAATATTAAAATAAGGTATTTAATACAATTACAAAGTCACTTCATTGAAAGATAAAACTAGTCTAGTGTCTGAAACATTGAAATTAAGCATACATATTAATATAAATATTAATAGGTTTTAAGCTTTCCATATTTCTTCAAGTGTACAAAAATTAAGACTTTAATGTGAGTAACTTATCAGTTTCAGTTTATCACTAGTTTTGTTGCTGGACTCTGATACAGTGATGATATGAAAACAGTGTAATCAAGTTTCTATTTTACAAATTTACTTTTCATCAGACTTATCTCATTAATGTTATCAGTTACCTTTTATTGTTTAAATTAATATTTTTTAGCGCTGCAAGATGTACTCCTGTTTCATCTATGAAGTATCCTTCTGGTAAGAATTTTTTTATAGGTTCTATAATATGCAAGTATTTTTTTTTGCTATTGTATTTAGAAGCACTTGTAACTATATAAAATTTAACGTAATGTAGACGTCAAAAATTAGTTCATTTGATAACTTCAAAGGTTTTTATGAACATTTGAGCATTCAATGGCACGAATTTATTTTTTCAGTGACATTTTTTTTTGTTTTCCTGTTATATTTTGTTCAAAACGAGACATATTTACATTGTTTTTTTACTTTTCATAAGATGTTCTCATCATTGCGTTTCATTTGCAGATATTGAAGGACAAGCTAGTATTTTAAAAAATGAAAAAAAAACACTTTATTGCATTCATATATAATTATATATGAATGCAATATATCTACATATAATATCGTATATATTATATGTTTAAGACAGATATCTTATAAAATTATGTGTAATATATATTATCAATTTATAAAGAGAATATGTATTATAAATTGGTAATATGTATAATATATGAAATACGTATAATATATAAGATTTGCTTCGTTTAAGAATTTTCAGCTTGGATTAGATTTTACTGAATATGCTGAGGGACTAAAGTTGTGCTTGTCTGTATAGAAGAGATAAGTCGTATAATTGACATAGTATTTATTATTTGTTCCAGTCAACAAAAATTGATTTTTTAAAATTTAAAAGTTTGATTATCTATAAAGGCTTTAATTATTATAATTTATGGTGTGATTAAATTTAATAAGTTTATTTGCTTATTGTGTAGTTTGGTTTTTGTTATAATTTTTGAATCGTACTCGAAGTTTGCCGACTTCTTCAGTTTAAAAGGTGAAAACTATCTATGTGAAAAATACATAATTATATTTGTAATCAAAAATGTTTTCTCCAAGTTTGTTTGCTGCTTGTGTTTCACTGCAGGATTTTCTCTACTATTATTCTGGAATAAAGTGAAAAAGAGAACAGCATATGTAAATATATATTAAATAAATCATCAAGATTCAAATTAAGGAAAATTAACAAATTCAGTTAAAAAAATATGATATACGGTATGATATTCAGTATTATTGTAAAAATATGATATACGATATGATATTCAGTATTATTGTAAAAATATGATATTCAGTTAAAAAAATATGATATACGATAGAAATATACGATAAATACAAAACATTTAAATGAAGCTGTTAGAGATTTATCAATCATACTGTGTTAAAACCTGAAAAAAATTCGAATTTTTAAAGTTTTGCTAATAATTTTGAACTGCTCAAGTATTATTGTAAAGATGTACCTTGCTAGAAGATAGAAAAATGTTAAACATTTGGCAAGTGTTGAAAAAGAAAAAAAATGATTGAGTAATTTGTGCAGCAGATTGAATATAATAAAGAAAACTAAGCAACTTTAAACCCAACTTTAAATCGAGCTTTACTTATGAATTGATAGTGGTATGTTGGATGTGTCTTTCTTGGATTTATGTTGTAATTTTTTGGTAAAAATTTGTGTCTTTATGCTTTTGTGAGTGCAAGTTATTAACTTTTTGTAATAAGGAAAATAAGACAGTTTAATTCTTACTATCACATTTATTAAAATTATTGTAATTGTTGATGTTTTTATTATAATTTTTATTGCTGTATGCTAATAAATGTATATGCTTGCAGTAAATACTAATTTTGATGGTTATAAGCATAAAAGAATGAATAAATTTTTATTATGTATAAATTTTATTACTGATTTTATTAATTTTATATAATGTTTTTGTG